GCCCACGTTAAACACTACTGTCAAGTCTTACTTTCCTGGGTAGATTTTCAAGCCCTGGAAAGTTCAGTTATTCTCTAGCTTTTTCCTGGTGGCTAGTAGTCTTAGTTACTCAGTGCCTTGGAATGTAGCCCTGGTGTTATGCATAAGAGGATTTCCAGAGGGTGGGATAGATACTGGTTGTTAATGAGCCTCAATCTGCATTTCTTTGCCTCACCCAGGAAGGGCTGAATCTCTGAGGCAGGGGGGCTGCTGCTTTTCCCAACAGGTTTGGGAAGGAGCACACTGACACTGTCTTTTGTGGCCACAACTCAGCAAAAACTCTGAGTGCCCTCCAAATTCTGGGTGTCCCCACAGAGTTCCAGCCCAGTATGCCCTCCCTCTGCCATAGCCCCCAGGTGAGTGGCTGTGGCTATTTTAGTGCTCTGTCCTGGCTCTCTGTGTGCTGTGGAGCAGACTTTGTCTTTATTCCCCAAGGGGGCTCCTCACAGCTAAGACTGCTGCTGTCTGTGGGCTCCAAGCCCACCACCTTCTCGCACCTTTGCAGATCCTACCAGTGTCCCTGGTTATATGGTCCTGTCCTGTTGCTTTTCTGTTGCTTTTTTTTCTGAGGATTTGTCTTTATTTTAGTTGTAATTCCTGTTTGGTCCTGGGAGATTGTCTGTGTAGCTTCTATTCACTCCTCTTCCATTTTCACATCTTCTATGACTATCTTGTGTGCAGCTGGGTCGCATAGGCCTTTTTGGTGCCCCAGCACCTTGCAGGTCCCGTGGGTAACTGGATCACACAGTCCCTTTGGGGACCCAGCTCTGTGCCTATGTTATGGGCTGCTGGGTTGCACAGGCCTCTCTGGTGCCTCAGCACCCCGCAGGTCCCATGGCTAACTAGATGGTGCAGTCCCTGCTTGGTCGCACAGGCCTCTCTGGTGCTTCAGCACCCCACAGGTCCTGTGGGTAACTAGATCACACAGTTCCTGCTGGGTCCCACAGGCCTCTATGGTGTTTCAGCATCCCACATATCTTGTGGGTAATTAGATGGCACATTCCCTGCTCGGTCACACAGGCCTTTCTGGTGCCCCCGCACCCTGCAGTTCCTGTGGACAGGCAGCTGGATTGCACCAGGCCCTCTTGAGCTTAAGCTTCCCATTGTACTTTTGAGCTACTGGACAGCACAGGCCTCTGTGGAGCCCCAGGTCCTGCTGCTGGCAGCTGAGGAGTGCTGCTGCCCTATAGGGCTCAACTCCTGCTCAGCTTTTGCTGTAGTGTTTGGGGATGGGTCTCAGCTGCTGACCTGTTCTTCTCCCCACCCCCTTGCCCTCTGGTAATCACCATACTTTTGGCAGTATGTTTGTTTGTTTGTCACTTAATCCTTTCACCTAAAAAATATATTCAGATCTTGTTTTAAGTACTTCAATAATACTTTATTATCTGATTTATAAAAAATCCTTTGTCTTTTTTTGTTAAATATAATCTTTTGAATTTTCAAATGAATGAAATATTTTTCTTTCTATTTTTGTTTTAATACGACTGTGTTAAAAACATGTATTTATCCTATCTCTATCCATAAATTTTTAAAAAGTTAATTTTAGGTATTTTCTTTTTAACTCCAATATATTATTTTTGCCCTTATCTTTGAATGAATTTCGACTTGTTATAGAATTCTAGATTGAAATGGTTTTCTTCATAACTTTAAAGGCATATACATATATATATATTTTTCTAGTACTCAGTGTTACTGATGAACCTGGTACCAGGTGGATTCTCATTTCTTCATAGATGGTATTTTTCTTTATCTATTATGTTCTGGTATTTTATAATGTTTGTATTTGGTCATTTACTCTGTTGGAAATCAAATGAACCATTTTATTTTGAAAATTTCTCTTTTTGTTCAACTCTATAAATTTTCTTTTAAAAAATATATGTCTTGTCATTTCTTTCATCCTTTTTTTCTGTTTTTATTTTCTTGAACTCTTCTTAGCTTAACATCGAGTCTCCTGAATTGATTTCCTAGGTCTCTAATTTTTTCTTTTCTATTTTCTAGAAACCTGAATTTGGGCATAGTCCCTCCCCCCTGCCCCAGCCAAACACTTTCACAGCTACCCTACATGAAATGTATGTTTGCTGTATACCAGTAAAATGTAGGGGTGTTGGTTCCATAGCAAAAGCTGACAAAGATAATCTGTATATTTCTTTATCTTTTTTCAATATATACTGATATATTAATTACTTTTAAAATTCTTCAATATGTCTATGTTTCTAATTGTACCTCTTTTGATAAATGTCTGTGTTTTTATTTCTTTGGATTTCTTTAATTTTTCTGAGGACACTAATTAGATTTTTAAAGTTATCTCTAGTTTTGAATTATATCTGCTTATCTTTTGGTCATCAGTTCTGTCAATTGATAACTGCACAAATAGAATTGAAAATAAAAGGATAAGAAAAGGTAGAGCATGACTACTGTAAGCACAAGAAAGTGGCCTTACCAATACCAGACAAAATAGATTTCAACCCAGAGAATGGCCAGAGATAAAAGGGACATTTATCATAGAGTGGGGTAGGTTTTTTGTTTTTTGTTTTTTGTTTTTTTACTATCTGGCAGGAGATAGATATTTTGTTTTCCTTTTTTTTAAAAAAATTTAATTAATTAATTAATTTTTGTTACAGATGTTTCTCCTTTTTCCCCCACTGATTCCCCCCTCCCCATCCCTCCTCGCCCTGTCCCCAGCTTTGTTGTCCATGTCCACTGTTCATACACACATGCATATAAGTTCTGTGATTTATCTCTCCCCCCACCCCCTCTTCTGGGGATTGTCAGTCTGTACCCCACTTCCATGTCTCTGGGACTACACCATTCCTCAGACTGTTATGTTCATTATATTCCACAAATAAGTGAGATCATATGAAACTTGTCTTTCTCTGTTTGGCTTGTTTCGCTTAGGATGATACTTTACATGTCGTCTTGAAGGATAAGAGATCTTTCTTTCTTACAGCTGCATAGTACTCCATTGTGTATATGTACCATAGCTTTTTTATTCATTCATCTACTGATGGACATTTGGGCTGTTTGCAGAGCTTAGCTATTGTAAATAGTGCTGCTACAAACATGGGGGTATATATATTCTTTCTGATTGGTGTTTCAGGCATCTTAGGGTATATTCCTAGAAGTGGGATCACTGGGTCAAATAGGAGTTCAATTTTTAATTTTTTGAGGTAACACCATGTTGTTTTCCATAGTGGCTGCACCTGCCTGCATTCCCACCAGCAGTGTATTAGAGTCCCCTTTTCTCCACACCCTCGCCAACACTTGTTTAATGATTTGTTGAAGGCGGCCATTCTGACAGGTGTGAGGTGATACCTCATTGTTGTTTTAATTTGCATCTCTCTGATGATTAGTGATGTTGAGCATTTCTTCATATGTCTCTTAGCCATTTGTATGTCCTGTTTAGAGAGGTGTCTATTTAGTTTCTCTGCCCTTTTTTTCATTGGGTTTTTTGTCTTCCTTTTGTTGAGTTGTATGAGCACTCTCTATATATTGGAAATTAACCCCTTATCTGATATGTCATTGGCAATTATGCTCTCCCATACAGTGGGTAGCCTTTCCATTTTGATGATTGTTTCTTTTGCTGTGCAGAAGCTTTTGAGTTTGATGTAGTCCCATGTGTTCATTTTCTCTTTTGTTTCTGTTGCCTTAGGTGATGTATCAGGAAAATTCTGTTGTGTATGATGTCTGAAATTTTGTTGCCTACAGTTTCTTCTAGGATTTTTATGGATTCATGAGTCACATTGAAGTCCTTTATCCATTTTGAGTTTATTCTTCTGTATGGCGTAAGTTGATGGTCTAGTTTCATTTTTTTGCTTGTAGCTGTCTAATTTTCCCAACATCATTTATTAAAGAGGCTGTCTTGACTCCACTGTATGCTCTTGCTACCTTTATCAAATATTAATTGAGCATATTACCTTGGGTCCATTTCTGGGTTCTCTGTTCTGTGCCACTGGTCTACATGCCTGTTCTTGTGCCAGTACCAGGCTGTTTTGATTACAGTGGCTTTGCAGTATAACCTGAAATCTGGTTATGTGATCCCTCCAACTTTGTTCTTCTTTTTCAAGAATGCTGTGGCTATTCAAGGTCTTTTTTGGTTCCATATGAACTTTTGAAGTATTTGTTTTAGTTCTGAGATATATGTCATTGGTATTTTGATGGGGATTGCATTGAATCTATAGGTTGCTTTGGGTAGTATGGACATTTTAATGATGTTAATTATTCCAATCCATGAACAAGGTATGTGCTTCCACGTTTTTATATATTCTCTATTTCTTTTTTCAATGTCCTGTAGTTTTCTGCGAATAGGTCCTTTATTTCTTTGGTTAAGTTTATTCCTAGGTATCTTAATTTATTTGCTGCAATGTTAAATGGGATTGTTTTCTTAGTTTCTCTTTCTGTGAGTTCATCATTGGTGTATAAGAATGCCATTGATTTCTTGACGTTGATTTTGTATCCTGCTACTTTTCCAAATTCATTTAAGTCTAGTAAATTTTTGATGGAGTCTTTCGGTTTTTTTATGTATAGTATCATGTCATCTGCGAATAATGACATTTTCACTCCCTCCTTTCCAATTTGGATCCCTTTTATTTTTTCTTCCTGTCTGATTGCTGTGGCTAAGACTTCCAGTACTATGTTAAATAAGAGTGGTGAAAGTGGGCATCCTTGTCTTGTTCCTGTTCTTAAGAGAAATGCTTTTAGTTTTTGCCCATTGAGTATGATGCTAGCTGTAGGTTTTTCATATATGGCCTTTATTATGTCTAGATATGATCCCTCTATTTCCACATTGCTGAGAGTTTTTATAAGAAATGGATGCTGGATTTTGTCAAAGGCTTTTTCGGCATCTATTGTGATCATGTGGTTTTTATTCTTCATTTCATTTATGATGTATCACACTTATTGATTTGTGAATATTATACTAGCCTTGCATCCTTGGGATGAATCCCACTTGGTCATGGTGAATAAAAAATATGGAACAGTTCGCGAATTTGCTTGTCATCCTTGCACAGGGACCATACTAATCTTTGTATTGTTCTAATTTTAGTATATATGCTGCCGAAGCGAGCACGAATATTTTGTTTTCTGATCTGATCTTTCACTAAGAATGGAGCCCTATCTGCAGATCCTACTTTATGCAAGGATCTCAGATTTATTAATGGGTTGAGGGTCCCTTCTTTGTGTGACCACCAGTCCTGGTTTTCCTGGGTTCCCACTGCAATCACTTGCCAGCAGAAAAGTCTCAGCTTTTGTATTTACTTACTGCTAGTTTTACCATATAAGGCTAACTTTTTTGGTCTTTGGGGGATTTTTCTTGCTTTCTTTTGAGCTCGGAAACAGCCTTTTAAACCATATTAGTTGTAATCCATCCAGCATCTAGATAGTTTTCAGTAGGAGGGATCTTTTGGAATAGCTAGTCTAGTATAATACCTGAAGGCAAAGTCCTGTCTTGCTTTTTCAACTCTCGTTTCACTATTTACCAGTGACTGGCACATTAATCTCTCTGATCCTCATCTTCTTCACTTATAAAAGGAGATATTAATCTCTACCTCATAGTTTTGTGTCAAGTAAGCTACTAGAGTTTATATTAAAAATGCTTAGAAAGTGTCTGACACGTAGTAAGCACCTTACAAGTGGTAGCTATTTTTTTTTTAATATGTTTCACTTTATTAGTAAAAAATGATGTCATCTACATTGAATAAAGTGAAATCATAAAACATTTGCTGCAGGAGTTGGAAAATGACTGCTCGAAGGCTGGACACCTGTGTTTGTAAATAAAGTTTTATTGGAATATAGCCATGCCCATTTGTCCGTGTATTGTCTCTCACTGCTGTTGCATTATGGCAGATTGAATTATTGCAAGAGACCAATGAAAACTTAAAATACTATCAGGCCTTTAAAGAAAACGTTTGCTTGTCTCTGTTCTGGTTTATAGGAGCAAATGAATTTCAAGACTGAGCTGAATGCTAAGCTTCCTGAGGATTTATATAAAATCTGGATTGGATCTTCTATTGTACTGTATGTAATTTAGTTTTCAAAGTAATTCCCTTAATTACATCCCCTTTATTCCTTCATTAGCTTTAAACTTTTTAAACTTTCCACTGTCTTAAACTCTGAATGCCCCACTGACTCCTCAAATGGAGTATTTCTCAACTATCTTTTTATCTCTTCCGTGATTAACCCTTCTTTTTGCTATATCCCTTCTTTTTGATGGTCTCATTATTTTCATATCTTTTTCTTTTTAATTCTCACCCAAGGATATGTTTTATTGATTTTTAGAGAGACAGAAAGGGGGGGGGGAGAGAGAAGAGAGAGAGAGAAACATCGATCTGAGGGAGAAACATCCATCTGTTACCTCCCATCCAGGGACTGAACCCTCAACCTAGGTATGTGCCCTGACCAGGAATCAAACCTGTAATATTTTGGTGTATGGGGTGATACTTCAACCAACTAAGCCACAGGGCCAAGGCTATTTTCATATCTTTTATTGCTTCTCTTTTATTTCACCATTTTGCTTTACACAAAAACAAAAGGCATAAAATAAAATAATAAATGCATTCAATCAGTTTTCTAACTGTGACATTTCTTTTCTAAGTTAACTGTCATCCTTGAATCTGTTGACCTCCTTTCAATTGTAACTGCTTCTGCCCTAGCTTATATCTTTATTTATTCATGACTAAATACTCTTCCTGATCTGGGCTCATCTTTTCATTCCATCCTCATCTCTTACTATAATCTTCTTATATTTTAAACTCCATATTCTTGAGGCTTTTCAAACACCTTGCCTTCCATACCTTCATGCCTTTGTTCGTATGATTGGACCTGGAAGGGTGTCAACCTCTTCATTTCTCCGCTCATCAGTATGTTCCAGCTCCTCTTTTAAGGCTTAACTCACACTCTCTCTTCCTAGAATTATTTCACTGTCCCTCAAAGCAGAATTTCCTTCTCCTTTCTATAGCCAGTGCTCCCAGTATGTTAGAGTGCTGAACCTATTTATAATACATTGTATTATTGTCATATCTTTAAACATCTGTCCCTGCCACTTGCCTACAATCCACTTTAAGTTAAGTGTGGCATCTCATTTACCTTGGCAGAAGCATGTCCAATACAATTTTGTTAAATAAAGGAGCAAATTTAAACAGGTTCTAAATAATTTTCATCAAATTGTGAATAATTGCTCAGGCTTACATTTTTGGGTCTGATGACAGAAAAACAATCACAACCTCCCACACAAACACTCAAGACTCTTGGACTGAGCTATTGCCGACCTTGGATGGCAAATTTTTACATCCATAAATAATCCTGAGCAAGCTGCTCTGTGAAAATTTATTTTTCCTTTAGGGAGTGAGCAAGCCAAAGATGTTAATTATGAAAATGAACAGAAAAGTCATAATCTGTAGAATTATAGTTTAGAAATCTTGAACTTTGGCTAAAAATAAGTTTATTCAGACAGTTCTCTTTTACTCATGGTGAGCAGTATAAAAGCCTCGTGATCAAGGGTTCAGCTGATCATTGTCCACGGCATTTGGACACATATCACATAATCATCTTTACAAGGAAGGTGTCTATAAACACCGTTTCACAGATGGCTCAATCTGATGCTCAGACAGCTTCCTGGGGAAGGTGAGCTGGGTCTAGGGTGTGCTTGAAGCTCACCATGAAGCGTAGGTGATTTAGATGCGTGGATGACCTTTCGGCTGCTGTATGGCTTGAGCCCACTGGAACTGGATCTGACCTCGGAGTGGACTGTCATAGTTATGGTGTCATATTGAGTACAGACTGGGCGGGCGTCTGCTTTCAGCTCACTCGTGTGGTCGTTGGTGAGCCTCTCAGTCTCTCCACAGGGCAACCAGTAACTGCAATAGTACATTAAGAATTAATCATTGAGAACATTCAGTGAGATTGCTAATTTCAGTTTGCAGATGAGGAAATGAAAGCTGAGTATCTTTCCAAGGTCATCTAGCTAATAAGTGACAGAGTCAGGATTTGAACACAGTTCTGTTTCACTCATATGTATGTATTTTTTGTTGTTGTTGTTTGTTTTTTTAATTCTCACCTGAGGACATTTTTCCATTTTTTGTTTAGATAGAGTGGGAGGGAGAGAAAGGGAGTGAGAGAGAGAGAGAGAGAAACATCGACGAGAAAGGGACACATCAAGGGGCTGCCACCCACATGACCAACCTGGGCTGGGGACAAACTACAACCGAGGTACGCGCCCTTAGCGGAAACAGAACGCGGGTCTCTCTGGACCGCAGGTCAACGCTCTAACCGCTGAGCCAAACCAGCCAGGGCTGTATGTATTTTTAATCAGTATGATTTCACATTTCTGAGATATACATGCACATATACATGTGTTTATATATATATGCACACACGCTCATATATGTATACATTCTTTACAATATGTGGTAAAAATTGAAGTGGCTCACCACACATGGGGAACTCAGGAATTTTGATCTCTATCTGTGGAGGAGGAGCTTGTTTGACTATTGCTGTAACAGATTACCCTACACTTGTGGCTTAAAACAGCAACCATTTATTATTCCATAGTTTCTGTGGGTCAGAAATCTGGGAATGGCTTATCTGAATTCTTCTGGCTCAAAATTTCTCGTAAGGTTGCAGTCAGTCTGTTGACTGGGGTCACGGTGTCATGTAGAGTGTAGACCGGGAGGGCTTCTGCTTTCCGCTCACTCGCGTGGTTGTTGGCGAGCTGCAGTCTCTTACCACATGGCTCCCTTCACAGGGCTGCTTCGCAACACGACAGCTGGCTTCTCACAGGGCAAGCAATCCAAACGCAAGCAAGCGAGAGCCCCTCCAGACAGAAGCCACAGTCTACTATAATCTAATCTTTGCAAGTGACATACCATTATTTCTGCCACAGTCTATTCATTAGCAGTGAGTCACTGAGTCCAGTCCTCACTCAAAAGGAGGAGAATTAAGGGCACGAATACCTGGAGATGTGGATCATTGGGCCATCTTGGCTGCCTAACACAGGGACGTTTCTTAGTGTTTTTCATTATGAGTGTCTTCTAAGCCCATGCTCGGTTTCCTGGGCTCGGCAGTAGTTGTGTTTAGAATACTGCCTAATCACTACTGCAAGACATCAGACAGAAATCAATACAATATAGCATCACACATTATCATTCTGAGCAATTCTCACCGCTAGTATTTCTTTCTGATGACAGATCTGTAGGTGGTAAAGTATTCTGTTAAGATCAGTAAATTAGGTTATCATTACAAATGTCTTTGGCAAGACCAGAGGCTCAATAACATTTACCTATTTGTTACACTTAATGAGGTATTAAATAATATGTATCCATGTGTCCAATAGATATTGTTAAGAACAAAAATTATTCTAAGAAAATAGGTAGTGTGGCGTGGGTTAGGAGTTAGGAGACTGGGACCTAGTCCTTGTCCTAGCTGTGTGGACATGTTATTTAATCTTGCTGTTTCTCAGTGTCCTCATCTGTAAAACAAAGTAGTTGAACAAGAACAGGATTGACAACCTCACAACCTTCAGGGATCAGGCGGTTAATATGAGAGCATGAAACGTCTAAGGGATAAGACAGAAATGAGCAGTGGGTCTGTGACAACAGGAGAAAGCACAGACTCCCCAGAGGGGCCATTATTACCCTGGGAGGTATGGGCACAGTGTTGCCATCTTTTGAGTTTTCAAAAGAAGTTAAAAATCAAGACTTTTTTGTAACATTTTATTATTATTTTTTTTTAATATTGATTTTTTAGACAGGAAAGGAGAGAGAGAGATAGAAACATCGATCCGCTGCCTCCTGCGTGCCCCCTACTGGGGATCAAGCCTGGGACCTCTCAATCTATGGGATGATGTTCAAACCACTGAGCGACATCAGCTGGGCCTTTTAAATTTTATTTTTAAAATCCTGTATAGGTCAAACACTATTTATCCTGTGGGTGATCAGTTTGAAATCCTTGAATGAGCATATTTTTAAGAGCTTTTCAGTTAAAAATATATGTTTCTGTTTTTCATTTAAAAATATAAACTTAAGAATACTGTAATGTAGAACATACTGAATACATTGTAAGACATCTCATTTA